AGCTCCTGGTTTGTAACAATGAGCTCCTGGTTTGTAACAATGAGCTCCTGGTTTGTAACAATGAGCTCCTGGTTTGTAACAATGAGCTCCTGGTCTGTAACAATGAGCTCCTGGTCTGTAACAATGCGCTCCTGGTCTGTAACAATGCGCTCCTGGTCTGTAACAATGCGCTCCTGGTCTGTAACAATGAGCTCCTGGTCTGTAACAATGCGCTCCTGGTCTGTAACAATGAGCTCCTGGTCTGTAACAATGCGCTCCTGGTCTGTAACAATGAGCTCCTGGTCTGTAACAATGAGCTCCTGGTCTGTAACAATGAGCTCCTGGTCTGTAACAATGAGCTCCTGGTCTGTAACAATGAGCTCCTGGTCTGTAACAATGAGCTCCTGGTCTGTAACAATGCGCTCCTGGTCTGTAACAATGCGCTCCTGGTCTGTAACAATGAGCTCCTGGTCTGTAACAATGCGCTCCTGGTCTGTAACAATGAGCTCCTGGTCTGTAACATGCAGCGCTTTTTTAAAACTAGATTTTTCAACTTTTGGACACAATGTTTTGGTCAAAGATTAAACATTATTTTTGTTTCAATTACTTTTCTATTGCAGGCGATATCAATTATTTTAATCGGTTCCAACCTCTATTCGTATTCTAAGAATCAGACTAGGTAGGCTAGCAGCTGCTACACATTCACGAACATGTGGATTATGGATACATGACATATAGAAGAAAAAATGATACAACAAAACGATTTTATCGGCCAAAAAAAACAACCTCTTCGTAGATAAAAAGAAAGAAAAACAGATAAGTAAACCATTAATTTTTTTTTTAAATGTGTGTGTGTGTGGGGGGGGGGGTACGATTTATATCTTTGTCAGCTATTTGGCTCCCTCTCTCTCCCTTAAGTCTTAGCAAGTAGGGATGCACTGGCACTAAATGTGCGGCTTATTAGTCTTATTGTTAATAGTTTCACATTGGTGCAAAAATTGTCATTTTGTTTTCCTCTTCTTTTCCTAGTGTTTAAAATATTTTTTTTTTTTTACATTTCATTTATGTTTGTAAAACCCCCCCCCCCCC